CCACATGGCGTGGCAGACCTCTCCTGACCCGCCCGCTGCTCCCCTCAGCAGTATACTTTGTTGATCTGCCTGTTCTGCTCCCCGTTCTATCTCTGGTGAATCCTATCACCCTCCGCATCTCTGGCCTGTACCCAGTTCTGTAGGAATAAATAAATAAATCTTTAAAGAAAAAAATAGTGTTGATGGGCCAAATTCAATTTGGAGATTATAACTAAACCAACATGATTAAGGTAGACTGGTGCAGATATCCTTAGAGTTGGGAGTGGAATTTCTATATTTAGGAATGGATCTTCCACTTGGAAAAGCCCTGAAAAATAACAGTAACATCACCCTCCCTCTTTGTGAACTGGTATTGAGTCTTCCCTCATGGGGAGAAGACATTCAGGGTTTGTGTATTTCTCATAGGAAGTGGTTGTGATGGATACAAAGGCTTTATGATGGTTCTTGAAGTTCTTAAAATAGCTGTCAAGGCAAAGAAAATGTCAACTTTTTTTTTTATTGTTATATAGTTGTGATTTTATTTTTACTGTTAACGAAAGTGTTTAATGAGCTTTAAAGTTATGGTGACCTGAGACTCTGTAGTCCAAAATAGACCGGCTTCAACTGCATGGAAAAAAGTACCCTAGCACACAATATCATTTTCAAGGGTTTTATCTTTCAGCTTCATGAATTCTACTGCTCTCTGTAGCATTTTTTTTTTTAACTAAAAAGTACCAAACACTTATTGAACATTTGTAATACATAAGGTAATACACCAACATGGATACACTTACATGGATTATCTCATTTAAATCTTCAAATAGTCTCTATGAGGCATGTATGTAGTGTTAATTTACCTTTGTTTCATTTATCTTTGTTTTCATTATTTAGTGTTTTCATATTTCAATAGAAATGCTTTTTCTACCTAGACTAAGTGCAGTAACATAGAAAGCTCTAAAAGCAGAACTCAGAATTTGCCTTCTTCCTACTCACCTTTATTTATATAACCTGTGCCAAAGACCTTGCGAGCCTTTCTGAAGTTTTCACTATCACTTAAAATATAATAATATATTTACAATAAGTTTTATTTGTTTTTACTGAAATAGGATACTTTATGCATACTTTTTGTTAACTAGGTTTTATTTATTTATTTATTTTTCATTTTATGAACCTACATTACATATATAACTACTAGCTCCTTATTTTTTCTAATTTGTTTGGTTGGTATTTATGCATTTAACCACACTCCACCTTGAAAAGTGGGGTCCAAAATTTTGTTAGATTTGTCAGATTGTTCTTACTTTAAGTGTTTTAAATCCATGTTGTTCAGTGCATGCAGTTTTGGACTTAACTACATTTTTCTGGTGACTTAAGTCTTTTGTTTATGAAGTATGCTTCCCTATCTTTAATTACACTTTTTGCCTTAAAGTTAATTTGATTAATAATAGTTATATAAGTATTTCCAATCTATTTGCATACAATGTCCTTTTCTATCTTTTTATTCTCAGTAATTCTTTCTCATTATGTTTTATATGTTTCTCTTATAAATATTTTATAATTGGATGTTGTTTTTTTTATGCAGTCAAAAGCTATTGTTTTTAAATTAGAGTACAGGTTTTTTCTGCTATCTGAAAGTAGAATATTTATACTTGGTATGATTTGGCATTCTTGGAAAGTTCAAATATTTTTTTCATATAAATAAATTATAATTCTCTTGGTGATGGTGTATAAAAAGAGGTATAAACCTGTACCTCTAAATCATATACAGTGTTGAAATCAATGTTACCTCAAAAAATTTTTAAAGAACAATTAAATTATAGTAATAGCATTCCCTGCCAATTCGTATTAAATAGGAAGTTCTACATTGGTTAGCAGGAAAAAACTATATTTATTCCATTTAAGTTTAATAAATAGAAAGTACTGATATATTTGGAATAAGTTTATAACCGACTATATTCCTTCTGCTTGTTTTTATTACTTCTTTTGTTCACCTCTTCAGTTTTCATTTTGGTTTCCATTACTCCACATTAGTTTAGCAGTTATATATTATTTTGTTTTACAGGCTGCTTCTTTAAAGTAATTCAAGTGGTGTTCTCATGATTTTTTTTGACATTTTATTACAAAATTTTCAAACATGCTGCTATGAAAATAGAACCGTGAACCCATGTGTCTGTATCAGTTTCAGTAATAATTTCTGACATTCTTGTTTCACATATTCCTCCAATTTATCTTTGGTTTTGATACTGTTTGAGTATCTAAAGCAAGTTTTTGTATCATTTACCTGTGAACTAGGCATAACCATATGGAACTGATGATAATTGAAAAACAATTGACCTACAAAACAATAGATTCATATTGCTTAATCTAATATTTGATCATTTTTCCTACAGAAATTCTTTACCTATCAATAAAATTTTCTACACACCACAGCAGATCTGCCAAAGTGAATCTCATGACCTGTCAACTACACTTTCCCTTGAGGCTTGTCTTCCAGTGTGAGACTAAGCCTGCTGCACAGCTGTCATTCTGGTGCTTTCTTCTGCACCTTTCCTGGCGTGGATTCCTGTTTCCTCAGTCATGTTTTCCTCTGCCTTGATTTATTTACTTGTTTCCTTAAAACAGTTCTCTAGAAGATTTCAAAGTATGGTGCATGAAAGGCAAAGTGTGTATCCTTACCTGCCTTCATTTGTCCTCACACTTGATTGATAATTTGGTTACAAAATCCTGTGCCAAAAATCATTTCTGAATCAGAATTTTGGATTTATTTTGTCGATATATACTTTATATTATTCTTGTACAACGTATGCTTTCTCCTCTTAGGTGTAGTCTCTGTGAAATTCCCACCCCTGCACCATCTCTATAGTCCCTTGCACTCTGCCCTCTCCTGTTTTGATCCCTCTCCCTCCTCCACCTCTGCAGAATGTCTCTGATTGATAGCTGCCTGCTGATTTTTATTTTTAATTTAATGTAATTACTTTTGCTTCCTCCTAATCTCTTATCTTCTCTACATTACTGCTGTAAGTTAAACTATCCAACTTTTCTCTTTCTTGCTTATTTCACTGTCTGACTCAGAATTTTGAACCCCTAGCTCCATGACTTGAGTTGTTGTTGAGAGATTCGATGTTATTCTCATACAAAGGATTTGGTATTTACTTTATAGATGTTCAATTTATCCTTTCTTCTACATCTTTGTAGTCACTGGCCTTGTGCACATTCTCACAGGAGAATTGTCTTTCTTCCAAAAAATTTTTTTTTTCCTTTCTCCCCTTGATTCTCCCATTTTGAAACTTCTTTGTGGATCTGAACCTCCCTAACTTCCAAACTTTATTATCTGGAAAATTGAGTCAACTTTGTTTTCTATCTTGCTATTAATTTTCTGTTTGTCTCTGCTGCTATATTTTGTTTTCAGTTCTAAAGGACCTTTCTACTTCTAACACCTTTTCTTTGTCTTTTAATTTTAAATGTCTCAGAAGATACTGGGTGTGTTTTCTTCTGTGTTTTTTATTTTATTTTTGCATTTTTTCTTTCCTTTAAGTTTGGAACCTTTCTATTGCCCTTCCTTTCTTTCTTTTTCTATTTGCTTCTCTCTTTATACTTTATGCTGCAATCATTCCTTATAATCATATTTTCAGTGACATAAATATAAAGAGTCAGCCAAAAATAAACAGACTTTGAGGAAATTTTCCAATATATAGTAGCAGACTTGTTGCCTTGAGTGATAGTGGTAACTGGCTAGGAGCAGGTATTTTTATTGGGGACCTTGTAAATATTAAATGTGTGTATTTTATCTTCTGTACTCCCTGGTGCCTCCAGATCTGGAGCTTTCTATGGGGTGAGTGACTTGCCTCATGGTTTTGTTCCCGCAGTCACTTAAACTGAAACAGCCTTTGCATTTCTGCAGTTACTCCTCTATCTGATTTCTTTCTAATTTATTGAAGTGTCTTATTCAAATTATAATTTTTATCAGGAATATTTGCAGCTGCAAGCTAATAGAAAACCATAGTTAAATTGGATAAGACAGGTAGGGGTTCATTTTTCTCAGTAATGAAAAATCTGCAGGTGGGGGTTACTGGCCTTGATTCAGCATCCTGGGGTTATCAGGACCAGCATTTCTGATTCTCCTGTTCTTTCTCTTGTGGCCAAAAAAGAAGTACACATAATATTCACCCTAAAGGCAGGATGAAAACAAGAAGGGATGAGTGTGTTGTTTTCCCTGAACTTCTTCATGTCAGCATCTGCTTGTGTTTCATTGGCTGTCTGGTGTTATATACTTACTCCTCCCTTGAAGACTGAGAAAACTGGTGTGGCTTATTGATGCCCTGAACAAAATTGCTATTCTCTTCGCTGGCTAAAAGGGGAGGAGCATGGATATAGTTAACAAAAATGATGCCTGTTACATCTTTCATATTTTGATGCTAACATGTTAGTGGAATTTCACGTTAAAGAAAATGAATGTGCCATGTTTAGCTGCACTGCAAAGATTAAGTTAGAAAATCCCCATAAAACTCTAAGCCTAGTACTTGGCACAGAAGTCATCTGTAACATTTGCTGTCGTTATGTGACCCATGCTACTGCATTTGTACATGTTGTTTTAATGACAGTTGGGCTGTCCAGGTGGAGGTGCCACTGGGTTCTTAGCTATGTGGGTCATCCCCACAGAGAAACTGGACTGAG